CTACTGATGACCTTCATTCCGGCTCATTCTCTTCCTCTCACTCTACAACATATCAATCTCCACAGTGTTGTTAAAGTCATCTTTTCAAAATGATAGTGTTGCTTCTTTGTTTAAGCTTCTTTGATGTTTCTCCATGACCAACAGAAATTTTCTAGCTCGACATAGGAAGTCTTTCCTGATCTGGCCATCCCTCTCCTTCCACTTTATACTCCAACAGTGTCAGGCTACTTGTATACATCATGTAATTTCATTATTCCATTTCTTTGTGCAATTTATACCTTCTCTTCCTATCTTTTAACCCAATAATTGAACATAGAAAGTTATAAAAATTACCTAATAGAAAACTTCATACATAATGACATTTATGGCAGTTCAATTCATGATATAAAAATGAAAACAGTGGGAGACCACCTAGCAAGACCAGGTGCTGTAGGTGTAAAAAATAAAAAATAAGAGATTGTAAGTTGACAAGATCCTTGCAATCTGTGAGGTCAACCAAGGGTTGCCCCACCTAAAAAAAAAAATGAAAATAGTCTAAATCCCTAATAATATAATTATTATAATACAGCCACACAATGGAATATCATGTAACATTTTAAGTTGTATGTAAAAAGGTGAGTTTTATTTTGTATGAAAATAAGACACCAATAAAAGTATAAAAAATACAGAAAAGTTTGAAGAATATAAAGATAACCATAATCCATCATATCAGAGACCCACTAACAACATTTTTGAATGTACCCAATATTTTCCTCATGGAACTATCCATATAAATATTTATAAATACCCCATATGCAGTTCTTTTGTACTTTTCACTTAACACTATAACTTTAGTCTTATCATTATAATATTCTTGGAAAATGTTTTAATTACTGCATAACATTCCATCAAAGAGATGCATCATAATTTATTTGACCTTTCCCCTATTTTGAGGAGAGGGCAACATAAAAAATACTGCAATAAATATCATGAATGTTTATCTTTGTTTGTGTTCTAATGTAGTGTAGAAGCTTGGCCCAATCCCACAACTTTCTGGGTAAACCTATTTGAACATCAACCTTTAATAACCATATTATATGCCTTATCACCCCATCCCTGGGCTTGTCTGAAGTTACCAGAGTGACCATCTGATACAAAGCTAGCCAATCCAAAGGCTTACTAGTAGCCAATGGCTTAGTCTGGACTCAGAGGCTTGTTCAGAGGTAGTGATTGAGTCAATCATCTTCTCTCATTCAGAAATTTAAACAGTGATCCAGAAGTAAACAGGTCAGTCTGTAGAGAGAAAAGAATTGGATACCTAAAGAGAAGCAAATAAGTTCTTGAAAGAGTAGCCTAATTGTCTAATGGCTTTGTAGAGCAAGTTCCCATATTGAGGCATCTGTCTTTGGATTTTGTGTGTGTGTGTGTGTGTGTGAGAGAGATTTAAACATAATGTAATATAACTGTTAAAAAATGAGATAACCTGAGTGGATCTTTGTTCTTTGCAAATAGAAGTTATCTAATAGTATGTAACTTTTTTCCCATAGTATATATTCCTAGATATGAAATCAATGTAGGAAAGAGTAGCAACAGTTTTAAGGCTCATGATTTGCCAAATAGCTTTTCCAAAAAATCTGTATCAGTTTACACTCAACATAAGTAGTGTATGCATCCATCACTCTGTATTCTCACTGAAAATAGCTTTTAATTTTTACTAAAAGTGGTATTTCATTAATCTGTTGATTTCCTTTGCCAATTTTTTACTAGATCTTATTTATAAAAGTTCATAACTGTAATAATCATGACAATATTTTTCCTGTTGTTGCATGACTTCCATATGTTCTTAACCTGCAGTTTAAAATTTTTTATGTGGTCAAATTCCTAGGTATTTTTTCTAGGTTCTTCTATTTCATCTAACTCTCAAAAAATGTATGTGTGTATATGTTTTCAACTATATAAAAAACCCGCTTAGTGAATTTTAAACATTTTATGTTTAAAGTATTAGAACATCTTTTTTTTAAAAAAATGAAATCTTGTGCTAATCTTGCATATGAATCATATAAAAATGAGGTTAGATTTGTGGTGTTTTTATTTCTGATACATCAGCCTTCATGAAACCATACGAGATTCTTGGCACACTACTTGAAAACTTGTGCTTCAATCAATATATTACACACACACACACACGATGCAAGTTATGAAAGCCTAATTTTTTCACCAAAGAAATAATTTCCTCAACACTATTTACTGAATAATCTTTCTGCTAGTCATTGCTCTTTATCATATATAAAGTATATAAGCATATGTACCAATTAAATATTATTTATACATATGTAATCCATACACTGGTCTATTTCCAAGCTATCTAGTAACTGAGCATTCTGAACATTTTTCCCAACATGCGATCAAGTTCTCCCTTATTTTAACTTCAATATATCATTTATTATATGTAGGGCAATCTCATTGATCTTTCTTATAATTATCACTGCTATTATCCAATGTCTATTTTTCTTAAAAGATTTTAGAATCTCTTTTTTATTTCAAATGTCATTGGGATTTTGATGAAATTTGACATAAACCTATAAATTTACTTAGGAACAGTCCTTCTTTAAAAAAAAAAGACTTCTTTATTCAAGTCCTCTTTTATTTTCAATTAAATGTTTTGTTTTTCATTATTTTCATTCTATATTTTTATTTTTTCACTTTAAGACATTTTAGTGTTATCACAAACCCTATTTTCTACAGCCATGTTATTTTCTGATTACAAGAGTTTAAGAAAATATGTTTTTATATTTTTACTCACCTTAATGGGTTTAATTAGTTCATTTTTTAACTTATAAAAACATATTGTAGGCATTCCTTTATGTTTGCCTAACCTGTTCTTTCATATCAATAAAATAAATTAATATTGAGCAATTGATCAGTAATTAATCAATAAATAACATCAAGGGTTTTTAAAACTTTTTAATGGAGGACTTAACCTATTTTGATAAATTTGGTTTTCTCTCATCTCAGTTCATGGTCTCTAATTTTTTAGGCCACCATCTTGTTTCTTTGTTTTGTCTTGTTATAGGGACTGAATATTCTTTGCTTTTATTTTCTCCTGTTTTGAAAGGTATGTTTTTAGTTCTATTGCAATTTCTATTGTTGTAGAAAATGTTATACCTTTATTTCTTGAATTGTTAGTGTCAAGAAGAAAATGTAATAGTTCCTGCTACTTAAGATCAAAAGTGTAGCACACTTTCTTCTGCTGTCCTTTCCCCATAGGGTTGTTGGATTTAGCAAATAAAAACACAGGATGCCTAGGTAAATTTGAATTTCATATAAATACTAGGAAATAATTTTTAGTATAAGTCCCATGCAATATTTGGAACATATGTATATTAAAAATTATTCATATTTATCTGAAATTCAAACTTAAATGGGTGTCATGTATTTTATTTGACAACTCTACTCTCCCACCCAAACTTTACATATAATCAGTTATTATACTCAGCATTTGTATATTATTTTCTTGCACAACTACTTAAAAGTTTTGAAGTTTTATAAACAAATTGTTATTCAGACTTAATGTCATGTTTAACTAATTTTAGTATTCATTACCAATCCTTTTATACCATGACTTCCACATTCTTGAACTTTTAAAAAGGCACACGTATGATGTTTTCTGTTTTCTTGTCTATTACCTGCACATATAAGACAATAAAAAAAAAAAACTGCAGGTGATAAAAGATTTTTTTAATCTCACAATTCAGAAGTCGTTCTATTGTCCTTTGACATTTACTGTTGCCAAGGTCTTTATCCATCCTCCCTTTTGGGTTTTGTATACAACCAGAATTTTTCTATTCATATTCTTTTTTCCCTAAGCTGTTTCAAAGCATGGTTTTTGTATTTGTTTTCCCTAAAATCTAGTGAGCATGTATACTTTTAGCTCAGGAACAGTTTCTTAATTTGATTGATTCTATTCCAAACATCATTTTCCTTAGAAACACCTTTAATTCTTACGTTGGAATCTCTATTTTCAGCACTTTGTCTTTTCTCTCATTGTTCCCACCCCATTATCCTCTACTTAAACATTTAAGACCATCTTAAGTTTATTCATTACAGTATTTGATATTCTGCAGTGTCAATTCTTCTCCTTATTGCCTTTTACTTTGATAATAGTATTTTAAATTTCCATATAGTCCTTCATTTTGTATATTTTTCTTTACTTTAGAGGTTCTTCTACATGTGTGGATTTCTACTCGTTTTATTGATTTCAGGTTTTGTCATGCTACTTAAGACACCAATTTTTTTGAAAAGTTTTTTAGGACACCAAAATAGTTCATTTTTAGGGCTATAGGATTTTAAATCTTTATAATGATATTCCTTTCTTTGGTATTACAATTTCCTCTTATTTCCCCAAACAGGTCTCCTTAATTTTTCTTGGGAAGTGAAATCCAAACGTATTTATATATTAGAAGTTAGGACTTGTGAATTCCTATTGAGTCTACTCCATTTTTATAATGGCCAAGATCTCTTATGTAATTAGCTTGAGTTCATTTTTGTACATAGCTCTGAGTTCAACTCCATATTTAGCAGATATTTCTCTATTACCTATTCTACTGAGATTAAATTAAATTCTACTGCTTGGATCTCTAATTCTGAACTGATGAAATATCTTCAATTTCTAGCATTCACTTCTATCAGCTTTTGTCAACATCTTTCACACTTAAACTAAATCTTGTACTTCTTGTTACTCAGTGTCTGAATCTATGAATAAATGTGAAAACTAGGGAGAGGAATGGGTGAGAGTACATTGCAGTAACCTTAAAGTACAGCATCTTTGCAACAAAAGGATGGTTCCTGAATTTTTTTGGTCGACACAGATATCATCTCTAAGATATCGTATCCTGGATTAAAGGTCATTCAGTGTTTTCCTACGTGTTGTCGTAATTGAATTATACTGGTCCTATAGTTAATTCATCCACATTTGAGCAACAGGCTGTCTACTAGTTTGAGTTTCAAGTTTTGTGTTTTCGTTTTTTTTTTTTTTCCTGTAGCTTCCTAGGGACTTTACAGGAGAGTCAAGACACTATTTCATAGCTAGCTAGCCAATTTCAGTTCAAACCAAAATGTAAGTAAATTGTTTTGAAGTCATTAAAACACAAAGTCGAACATACAGTATGATTTCATGCACAATAAAATGCACAGAAAAAAAGACATGAAACGGGATGAATTTTCTCCTCAAATCTTTTATACATTTTATAATGACCATGTATAATATTTATAGTAGCAAAAAAACACTTTAATTTTAAATATATAGAAATCCTTCTAAGGACCTCCTCTTGAAGCAAATGATTCTTAGCTGGTGTTAGGGGAAACTGTAAATGTTGCTTGGGATTACTTGGGTTATAGAATTTTCTTCCCAGCAGCATTTATTGGGCTTAAGGTTTTGACTAAAGCTGTTAACTAAATGAACAGAATTATAAGTTTTCTCTTCTGTGATTATTGTAAAGATGTGAATTGTGATCAAATCTCCTGTAGTACTCATGGCATTTATGGGGTTTCTCTCCTGTGTGAACTCTTTGATGAATTCGAAGAGCTGAGCTATGACTGAAACCCTTACCACACTTAGCACATTGGTAAGGCTTCTCTCCTGTGTGGACCCTCTGATGAATGTGAAGATTAGAGCTATGACTAAAGCCTTTTCCACAGTCATCACATTTATAGGGTTTTTCTCCTGTATGGACTCTCTGATGAATGAGAAGATGTGAACGCTGACTGAATCCCTTACCACACTGTTCACATTTATAGGGTTTCTCTCCAGTATGTACTCTTTGATGAGTGTGAAGCTTTGAACTCTTGCTGAAGCCCTTCCCACATTCATGACAAGTATAGGGTTTCTCCCCTGTATGGACCCTCTGATGAATGCGAAGATCTGAGCTGTGACTGAAGTCCTTCCCACAGTCATCACATTTATAAGGCTTCTCTCCTGTGTGCACTCTCTGATGAATTTGAAGATTCGAGCGCTGGGTAAAGCCCTTACCACAGTCATCACATTTATAGGACTTCTCTCCTGTGTGGACTAACTGATGAATTCGAAGATTAGAGCTCTGACTGAAGCCCTTACCACACTCGTTACATTTATATGGTTTCTCTCCTGTGTGGACTCTCTGATGAACATGAAGTACTGAACTCCGACTAAAACTCTTACCACACTGATCACACTTAAAAGGCTTCTCTCCTATGTGAAGTCTCTGATGAATATGAAATAATGGATTTCTACTGAGGTCCTTACCACACTCAAATTTATAGAGTTTCTCTTCTGTATGGACTCTTTGATGATTGTGAAGACTAGAGATCTGACTGAAGCTCTTTCCACATATATTACATATATAAAGAAACTTCCCTGTGTGGACTCTCTGATGAAAGTGAACACTTAAGCTCTGACTGAAGTTACTGTTAACTTCATCACATCCGTACAGCTTCTTAACTACATGGATTCTTGGATGTCTGTATAGGTCTGATTGCTGAGAGAAACATGCTGTACTGATGGAGCACTGATACAACTTTTCTCCAAGTTGACTTCTCTTGTGGAGAACACACTGTGAGTTCCAATAATAAATTTCTTTACATTTATTACATCCACAGTATTTTTCTTCCATAGAGTCTTTCAGTAGGTCATTTTGGCATATCTCTTCAATGTACTCTGGAAGGGTATCCTCTATTGGGACATAAGAATGCTGGACTATGAGCTTCTTTTCTTTTTCCATGGAGAGATTTTTCCTGGATATGCCAAGATGGTATCTGCTTCCTTGAAAACCATGTGACTCACTCACATAGAATTTTCTACTGTAATCTTGAGTGTGTTTTGTTTCCAAGGACTGCCAAGGTATAAACTTTGTATATGTTAAGTTCCTAGGACTTCTGCCTTCAAAAGTTAGTTCACAGTTCCCATAGCTTGGTACTTGTGTGGAGAATATTAACCATTCTCGATAATGGGAAAAGTCTTGTTGCTTTAGGTCTTTGGAATCTAGCCCTTGAATGGTATCCACATACTTTCGGTTCTCAAATAACTGAGTGCTAGCATTCTTCCAACCTGGCCAGCAGGAAAGATTTTCATGTTCTAAATATCTAAATCTTTCTTTGGGAGATTTGTAGCTCTCTTTCCAGTTTCCTAGAAGTATAAACAGATAATCCAGTGGTGAGATAAAGACTGTGTTTAAAAATTTCCAAGTATCTCAAATCAATGACCTCCAGAATTATAGGGATATATGTGTGAGTTAGAGGGGAGAGAAGGGTTATGACGGGCTGCTCCAAATTTGGGTCTGAAATTCATTTGTTTGTTTATTCCTATGTGTATTCATTCACTCATTCATTCATTCCATAAAGTATCTTGAGCATCTACTACTTATTCTTGGAAATAAGAGTAAGGCTAACTGCTTTACGGAAATTGTCTTTAAGACTGAGATTTAATTAGATTACTCTATTTGGGCCATTATTATAAAAAATAAAACACCTTTTTTTTGTTTCGATTTTTCTGTTCCAGAATAGTATCATAGATTGTATTTTAAAAATGGCTGTATTAACTCTTTAATCTACATCTTTGGGCATTTACCTTCCACAGTGACTTTAGGCTTGGCTATTCATTTGCTTTGGTCACTGGGACAATAGCAAAAGTGATATAAGCAGAGACTTGAAAAGTGCTTGGGGCTTTTACCTCTCTCTTGCTGGTTTTGAAAATCCTGTGACTATCACTACATAAATGAGCCTGGGCTAGCCTGTTTGAAGAGGGACATGTGGTCAGCCCATTCCCATTATCCCCACTGATACTGACCAACTACCAGACATGTGAGTCAGACTGTCCAGCATAATCTTAGACCGTCCAGCCCCAACCAACTGACTCCATGATAGAAGATAAATGTAACCAATTAGAAGCATAAAAAATAATAATTCAAGTCTCTAAGTTTGGGGTAGTTTGTTATACAGCAAAAGCTAACCTATACAAATAGTATGAAGAGAGAATATAGGATGACTCAAAACTGATTATGTGTGGAGATCTATGCTTTAAGTGTAATCCAGAAAATATGAATAACAATCACAAATACCTATAAGTTACATAGCCTAGGTGTCTTGAAAGATGTCTTGCTTTGCTTATCTTCTATTTGTCATCTGATTTAAGACCCATTTTTGAGACTATTTCTTCTACCTCAGTACAACGCCTAGATAAAGAACCAAAATACTCAACAAAATTGGTCCCAGAAGAAACTATTCCCTAACAGCTGGGATAACTTTACCTACTGACATGACATTTGTGTAGTTCTCCCACATGACCTCTCTGTAGAGCTTTTTTTGAGAAAAATCCAAGAATGTCCACTCCTCCCAAGTAAAAATAACAGTCACATCTTCAAATGTTACTGCCATCTGGTCAAAGATCAGGCTTTTCAGAAAGAAGAAATCTAAATGAGAAGATGAACAAAGAAAAAGACATTCATCAGGTAATATGAGTGGCAAATAAAATAGAAAAAGAACTTCAATAATGAAGAAAATCAACAAAGGTGAGAGGAGACATAATAATAGCAATCAAATGGCTAAATAATATATCCAGTCTTTGAACCCTATCACTATCATAAGAAACATAGCATTTATCTGCTAACCACTGGGCTAACTACTTCATAAGTATGTCAAGTAATCCTCACAGCAGTCCTATCTTATAGATATTATTATTATCTCCATTTTATAAATTAGTAAACAATGTTTGTAAAAGATTAGGTAAATTCCCAAGATCCATGCCTTAACCACGAAACAGTAATTTAGTGCTTTTTATTACTATGTTTTCAAATGTTAAAATTTTTAAAGATAAGTCTAACACAAGTGAATACATAAATAAAATAAGAAAATTGGGATGCTTAGAAACCCAGACTACAAGATTGAAAACCGGTGTTAGTGTGGAAAATAAATGAACTCACTGGTCCCTCATTTTGTAAAAAGTACAGAAAAATAAAAATCTAACATTATGCTAAAGAAGCCACTGACAGAAGAATATATATAATATATAAAGTTCCATTTATATATGTTCAAAATTAGGCAAACTAAACAATCTTGTTTAGAGATACAGACATAGGTAGTTAAGACTACCCACCCCTTCCCCCAAAAAGCTAAGGAATAATAAACACAAGATTTGAGAGATTTGAGATAGCAGTTGCCTTTTTAGGAGAAGAAGGCAATGTAATTGTGGGATCATTGGGAGGCTTTTAAAAGTATTTTCTAGTTTAGATGGTGGGTGTCCATGTTATTGTATTTTAAATTGTACATGTCTTTGAATATATTCTTTTGCATTATGTAATACATTACAATAAAAATTCAAGTTTATTAACATGTAAAATCCAATTACATAATTTAGAAAAAGCCTGGGCATATAAATAATAATCACTAAAAGTTATTTTTAAAATAACATTTACGACAGTAATTTAAAAATATAAATTCCTAAAAATTAACTTAACAAAAACACTTAAAACCTATATAAAGACAGCTTTAGAATTTAGAACTACTCTACAGTCTTAGGTAGGAGAAATAAATATAATTTTGTTCTCACTAAACTAATCTATATTTTTAATGAGCTCGCAATGACGATACTAACAAATTTGGGGGAAGGGGAGAGGAGGTATCTGACAAACTGATTTTCAAGTGCTTTCATGAGAAAAAGAAAAATTGTGAAAAAGGAATAAAGAGGGGAGACTAACCCAGTGGTATATTAAAACTTTAATAAGGCCACTGTAATTATAACACCATGGGGTTGACACAAAAATAGAGAAGATCAATGGAAAAGAGTAGAAATCTGGAAATGGGCTCAAATATAGCAATGTATTCTAAACATGGTAAAGGTGATATCAAATTCGTGGGGGAAAAGATGGCAATTTAATTAATGATGCTGGGACAATTGACTAGCCATCTGGCCCCGTGCCCCCCCCAATTTTTTTTTCAAGCTACACTCCCTGGCTCAATTTCTTGTTTCTCAGTGACCTGAAAGAATTATATTGGATATGCATTGTTTCAAATAATAACTAACATAATAGTGATTAATTGTTAGTGAGTTCTATTTGTTAAGCAGTATACTGTTTTTTACATGAATGATCTTATTTAATCTTCTTAATAACTCTATATAGTAGGTTCTATTTTCCTACTTCAGCTGAGAAAAAGGTTAAGTAACTGAATCTAGTTTTATAACCAAGAAGTTGTAGAGGTATGAAACAAGTTTAGGTAGTGGGTCCAGAGGCTGTATTTTGTCCAATATGCTATACAAATAAAACATACTGAAAGGTTAATATAGTCAATATCTAATAGTTACTATATGTAACTTTTATTTCCTTTTTTTCCAAAATAGAAATCATTATAATGTTATTCTGTGGAATATTCCCAATACGTAAGCTATCTTTTCCTTATGCTCACTGAGTGAAAAAAGAAAGGCTACATTCCTCTTCATTATAACTTAAATGTACTGCATATAAAGGAACAAAATTAAATACATTCTGATACCAGTATAATAATTGAGAAATGGGTCCATGAAACAGGACAGCCCCCAAACTGATCTGTGTTACATCTGTGTATGTGCCTGCATGCGTGCGTGTGTGCATGTGTGTGTGCATAAAGAATTCAGTAATTTGGATATGAAAAAGTAGCACTACAATCAACGGAGAAAGGAAATGTTACTAGAAAAATATAATAACCAAGTGGAAAGAAAAGAATGTTTAAGTTTCAGAGTTAAACATTTAAAATACTTGAAACAATTTTTAATAAATGAAAATAATTATGTATTAGATTTGGGGATGAAGAAGACCTTTCAAAGCATAAACCTATACAAATAAAAAGAAAGAAGATTTCACTTTATGCAAATTTTTTAAATTTCAAAATTTTTAAAATAATTTATATACATATATCCTAGATAAACTCATGTGTGTACATTTGTACATATGTATGCATATATATTAGTGTTTTTACAGATTAGTGAGTGTGTATATAAATATTAGATAAGAGACTGTTAAGTCAATAATGGCTGCCTCTGGCTGATGTGCAGGGGACTCTGAATGCTGCACAAGAATAAGAAACCGATTAAATTTTAACAGCTCTCCACAATGTGGCCTCACCTTATATATTCATATATGCCGTAATGCAACTAGCCCAATTTCCATATTTGTCCCCTCAAATTCTGCCTGAGATTAAATGATGGTTTTTCTGTCTGGAGTGATATCTTCCTGTATATAATGATTATTCAAATCTGAGTTTCTGTTCCCATATTTTAAGTGCCTCTCATTCTAGCAGTTTAATGTCCAATAACTTTAGAAATTAATACTAACTTCATATGGTCTATTTCCTCAATGTTAAGGAAAGACATTCTTGTATTTATCTCAGAACACAAAGACAAATATGAGTTATAGAGTAGAGGTGAATGACTAAGTAAATGGTGGGAAAAGACAGTGGGAGGCAGTGTTCTGCTGTATTGGAGGCTTACCAGGCAAGTGAGAAACATCTATTCTGTCTGGTCCATCCATTTCCATGGCCACTGCTACTACTCCCACTACTCATGGAGAATTAAGGGGCATTTTATAAATGAGAAAAGACAATCCTACTCACCTGGGTTCAGACAATGAGGAAAATAGTGAACATTCCTTCTTTGTGCTCCTCTTTTGGGTAAGGATGGAATGTTGCAAAGGCTGAGCTGTGGGAGAAGAAGGAGGAATGAAAGACATGACAGACTGGGCATGACTTAAAGTTCCCAAAAACACTACAATATCCCCAAATACCCTACAAAGAGGTCAGAAAGAACCCAAGAACATTTCTGTTCTCTTTCAAGAACCAGGAGAGTTATGAGGACTGGCACCAGGACCTTATTTCTGACCCTCTAGAAACTTCAAAGATACAATTCTAATTTAAACATGAAAACACAGAATTTGATCTCGGTTTAGCCCTTCCAGGGATGCAGATGCTCTCTATGTAATTTAACCTCTCTGAGCCTCAAGGCTTTCCTAGTTTATTATTAACAAGAACAATAAAAATAATAGAAATAATAGCAGGGTAGTTAAATAGTTTCTATTCTTTATTTTTCTTATTTTGTCCACCAATTAGGTAGACAGATAATTCCATTGCTCTCTCCTATTGTTACAACAGAAATACTGGATTTTCTACCAGAGTACCTAGAGTCTTAGAGAAGTATCAACTCTGTCACCAACCACTTCTGGAACTTTGAAAAGGACAAAACTATAGACCTCGCAGGGCCGCACTTTACTCACCTGTAAAACTGGGGCATGAGCCTTTGCCACCCAGATCCAGCCTTGCTAACACAGGTCCCTGAGGAAAATAAGCAGTTAAGAGCCCTCTTTTTCTAGAGAGAAAACCGATTCATGAGCGTCCCAAAAGCAGGCCAAGCGCGCCACGGATTCACATGTTCAAGCGGGATCTGTTTGTTTCAGGGTCACGATCTGCAAGGCCTCGGCTCCTGCAGCGAAGACGCGCGTATCCTCGGTTGCGCGTCCAGACCCTAGACCCAAGCTGCGCCCCCAACACCTCCCAACCCCGAGCACCCAGGCCTCTGAGCCCAAGCTGCCTTTGCTCTCTTCTCCCCTTCCCCTTATTCAGTTTTAACATGGGGAGGCTCGTCTGTGAAGAACTCACACTGGTGTCTCCGGGATTTCTAAGCCGTAACTGCTTCTCAGCCCTGACCCTTTTCTGCCACTCTTTTTTCTGCCACTCCTCCTTCAGCTACAGTTCTCCTCGCCCTTGTCCGCTTCTGGCTGGGTGCTCCCGAGGGTCCGTGTCACTTACAGAGCCTCTAAGGTGGACGGAGACAGACCAAATCACTCCGTGTACTCAAACAATGGCCGCAGCCCAGCTAGACCAAAAGAGCCTCAGGCCTTGGAGTAGACACTTCGTTTGTTTCCATGGAGACGTGAGGGGGCGGGAAAAGCGCAGGAGAACGTGGCTCCTGATTGGCCAGAAAGATCGAGAGGCCGTCCGGCGCTGCGCCACCAGCGCTCTAGGGCGGGAGCGTTGTGCGCTCGCGCGCTCTGAGCCGAGGTTGGGGCGGTACCAACGCATACTAAAGAAATAAGATTATTCTAGGTGCTTTACAGCCCCTAAGAAGCGGGCAGAGCTGGGGGTTCAGGAAAATGAGCGGCCGACCTCGGAGAATTCTGGGACCCTCACAACCCGCGAGTGCGGAACCCCTCAATAGGAAGGTGGCGAAACCCTTGCTGTCGAGTCCGCTTTGTGGACAAGAGGTGGTTGTTCATGCTGTTTGGCGCCCTGGACAGAATGGGCACCCCATTAACTCTTGCACTACCATCGTCCCTAAACTCGAGATTGGAATCAGAAGAAACCTTTCAAGTTCCAGTTTACGGTTGCGGGGGCCCGCTTTGCTCCTGCTGACTCACTAGTCAGGTCAGGCTTTTCTCCGTCCTCTCTTCCTGCCAATTTCTGGGCTTCTCGGGTGACTCCAAGCAGAGAGGAAACGCAAGGTGGGACTGAGGTGGAGCCAAGAGAAGGAGCCCCTTCTTGGTATCCTGGGAGCAACAGAAAGCCATCCAAACACTTGTTCTTCTCTTAGTCGTTGAGTGTTATCTTGGGAAACTTCATTTCCTTAAGCACTTTCCCTCAAACTCGGGCTGAATCCGTAGTATTCAACAATTTAGTATGCAAGGAGCTCTTCTTAGGGTAGTCTTTAAAAGCAAGGGACTCCTTGGGTTCTAATCTGACTTACTGGTGATGTGGCCTTAGCTAAACGACAACTTTTTGTGTGTGTGTCAGCATCCCAACCTATAATGCTTAGTAGCCATATCACAGGCTTGTTAGAATTAACTGAACTAGTGTAGTCAAACTGCTTAATCTAGTCCCTGGCACATAGGGAGTGCTCTAAAAATGTTAACTATGTATTTACAGTTCAATGTTTAGCATGAGTGGGTGGTCCAGGGCCTTCCTCCCTCCACCCCTACCGGGAAATGAGCTTCTGAATTTCTTATGACTCCCAAGGCTACATTTTGAAAATCATTGTGTATGGACCCGTCTCGGGTGTAAACGATCAACGATAATATGGCATAGCGTTTTGGGACAGAACTGAGTTGAAAACCTGCCATTGTTACTCAGTAGGTGATGTTGGGCAAGTTTTTAAAATTTTTTGCCCTCCGTTTTCTCATCTGTAAGACGATGATTTTAATGTAGTTAAAGTTATAGTTGACAAAATCCTGAATGCATAGGCATTGACCAGTAAGAACAAGCACTGGAGGTGGGCTGCTCTACCACGTTTCTACCAACTGTAGAATATCAGTCTTGATTGTTAAAGAATAAGAGGGATAATCAATGTAATTTGCTTTTTCAGCATTCCTGGCACAGAAAAACATCAAATGTTAGCTATTGAGGTCATTATTTAACTTATAATCTCATTTTTAAAGTGTGCTTTGAGACTAAACTATTGTGTATCTCAGAGGTGTAACTGAGGCTCTGGGACTTTTGAGATTTTGTGAACTTGGGATGAAAGTGGACTCCAAGGTTTTATTTCAAACAACTGATTGTTTGCTAATTAAGAACATTAATCCTAAAGTCTTTTACCTCAGACACACTATAATGTCCTTTTCGTGCCAAGGTTAGGGTATACTGGGAAAAATTGGGGCTTTTTCATATAAAAGAAAGTAAATGAGTCTCCCATTTCACATGGTCATTCACAGAACAGGGCAGTAGCTCTCTGTTAGATACGGATCATGGGGGAGATTCTCAGAAAAGACTGCCTAAAGAGCTCTTCTATTTCCTGATCCAGCTGTCTGCTTCTCCAGCTGTCTGCTTCTCCTAAACAGAAAACCTGGGGCTTATGGAGAGAAACCTTGACCTTATAGCACTGGTTTAGAGACTTAATTTTGGACCTCTTTCCTTCCCTCTGGGCTGGATAAGACTTGGAGAACAACATCAGAGATTGGGTGTAAGGATTTGAAAAGAGCCTGGACCTCAGGTCTGTGGATCTCGTAGGAGACCTGTATAAATTTACTGGGATTCTTTGACTCCCAAGAGGCCAAAAAGATGATGAACATGTAGGTTGACAGTCCCCTGTGCTGAGTCTTCCTGTGAGATTATAAGGAGACCAGGAAGCAAGAAGATTTTATTCAGGTGCCTCAGTAGGAATTTGGCAGGTTTTATGCTTCTATTCAATAGCCAGCAGCGGTAAAGACCCCTTGCCTCTTTGTCTTCCCCTAACTGCGGGTCTGCTGCCACTTTAAATATTCCATTAAATAGACCTGAACCTCAACGAATTTACAAAAACAAAACAGAATGAAACAAAACAAAATGAAACAAAACAACTAAGGGATCCAGTTGTCAGACACTGAATGAGTAGATACAAACGATGTGCATTTAGGGATATATAACTGCTAGAATGGCAGATGACAGCATTAATAACAAAAGAGCATCAAATATAACTTATTTAAAGATATATACTTCTGAAAATAAAATTAAAAACTTTTTAAAGATACCTATATTTATATCTATCTATATGTATCTTCCTAAGCAATTTAGCGATGGTATTGGAGATGGTCACTTTTGAGACCCAGAACTAGGTGATTTAAAGAATACCCCAAAACACAGAGGAAAAAAGATAGAGATGGAAATCATGAAGGAAAAAAGATAATATACTTAAAGGATAGATCTACAAGACTTAATATGCAGACACAAAAGTTGCAGAAGGAAAAAACGAAGTGGATAGAAGTGAATAAATAGATTAATAACAAAAAACGGAAAATTTCTTGAGGCTGAAAAATTTTTTAAAGGCCTCAATCTGCAGATCTAAAGAACTCACTACATTTCGGTCTGGATTAATGAGTAAAGACTCACACTATGCATATACAGATATAATTCCTACATATTAAGGACTAAAGAAAACTCATAAGCTTTCAGGCAGAAAGGGCAAGTAATCTAAAAAGAAAAATGACATTATACTTCTCATTTGTAACATTGGGAGCTAGAAAACTCTTAGATTGCAGCTGCAGACCGGTAAAATAAAGGACTGACAATCCATCAACCTAAATATAGTTACTTTCCCTGGTGAAATAAATATTTGAGAATTTTCAAGAATTCAGTCTGTATCACTTAGGTCTCCCCCATCTGAAGAAACAATTCAAGGAAGGACTCTAAACAAATAGCAAATAAACTAAAAACAGAAATAACTCAGAAAAATTATAGAAAAGGAATTAGAGGAAACTATGGTATAAAATAAATAATAAACAAAATAATACGTAAAGAATGCAGTTATCAGTCGTGCTAAACGTGAATGGACTGGATGTCCTTATACAAAGGCAGAGACAACTGCCATTTTCAACAACATGGATGAACCTCGAGATAATCATGCTAAGTGAAATAAGCCAGGCTGAAAAAGTTAAAAACCACGTGATATGACTTATAAGTGGTATATAAACCTAAAAGCAACAAATGAACAGGATAAATAAACAGAAACTCGTGGACATGTTCAATAGACTCGTGGTTACCAGAGGGGAAAGAGGGAGATAGGGTAAGAGGGGTCAAATGTGTGGTGACATTAAAGAATTAAAAATTAATTTAAAAAATAAAATAAATTTTTTAAAAAGGCATAGACAGGGTCAAGCAGCCAAATCCATCTATATGCTGTTTACAAGAAACACCTGTGAGATTGGTCAAATGGTTACCAGGCAAACAAAAGGAGCAGAAACTTCAATATTGAAATAAACAAGTTGAAAGTTAAGAAGAATTGAAGAAAGAGATGGACTTTACATATTGATAAAAGACAATTTATGAAGTATAATAGTATCAAACCTGCTAAATACATAGAGTAAACATGTATAAATCTGAGAATTTGATTAAAAAATACAGTTCTGTAGGAAAATTCAGTACTTTTGTGTCAGAATTAGATCTAGAAGACAAAAAATAAAGCCATACAGAAATCAAATAGTACAATTAAAAATCTTGACTTAAAAGGTTCATAGAAATTTATGTCCTGAGAATAGAGAACATATTTTTGTGTCCATAGACTAGCAACAAAAAAACTAATTAGGAGCTTTGCGTTCCTTGTCTTCATCTGAAGAATGTGCTTCAATTGCTCCCATTAATTTTGCACCCTATTACTTTAGTTTTATGAGGAGACATCTTTAAATTTTTTCTGATGCCTTTTTTGCTAGTAACTTAATTTGAAAGACTTGCATATTCAATTTTATTATATAGCATTTTGAGAAAAAGAAGGCCTGAAAATTTAACGTTTAGCTAAAGTAATAAAGAAGAGACAAAACAATGTTAACAATAATGCAGTTAAGGGGCAAGCAGTCCTCCCATGCTTTCCATGAGAGAGCTAAATAAAAACAGAAAAGAAACAAAAAAAAAAATGCAGTAAAATGTATGATATTGTAAAACTTAAATGTCTATGTAAAATTAAATATGGTCAAGTATATGTAAATTGAAATGCAAAGTGTCTAATTCATTTTCATTAAGGTGGTTTGGTATTTTGTGCTTCTAAAATTTAAGTCTTAGTGTTTATTTTTTATGGAGTAAATATGTTCTATTTCATGGTTTTATAAGCATGTTAGAAATGGTTTTAGAACCCAAACCTAAAACATACATAGCTTTCTTAAGATGTATATATTTGAGAATATAATATTCAGCATATGACTTGAATGGCTATTTAACAATTAACATAGTAGATGGAAGCCCAAACCAAGAGAGTTTACTTGTTTTTCTCTCACCTTTATACCATTGGTTATTCTTTTGAGTTAGTTTTTATATGGATCCTATAATATAGGGCTCCAATTTCTGACTGTGATTGAGGTTGTTGGCTCCATCTTGCTAACTAGCATGCCTGAGCTCTTAATATCAGTTGCCTAGAGGGTAGTTGTTTAATGCCAATGGATACTGGCTCCTACTTTGCCAATGAGGTTTAAAGCTCTCCATG